CAGACCAGGGTTCAATACCCTTGGTCCCCTTTCCCCTCCCTATTATTTCCCAATTACCACTGTTAACTTAAAAAAAAAAAAAACCACACACACACACAGTTTGTTTCTATTAACAGTACCTTGGTTTATATTAGTTCATACATGTATTGTTTTCAAACTATATCATTTTATAAAATTAGCACTTTTGGAGTTAATGATTCATCTTTAATATTTAATATTTAAGTTCATTTAATAAAAATTTAACTTTTATTAATTATTTTTTAAAAAATTTCTTCCATAATTCCTTTGTTTATAAAGAAAAAATATATCATTTTATAAAATAAAAAATTTTAAAATAAAACGAGTTTGAGAATTACAGTGTAATTTAATAACGATTAACCCTGCACAAAACCTTTCTAATATTAAATTTAAAATGTAAAATTCAAGTTACACACCTCATGTTAAAAGAAAAATTAGTTTAATATTAAAAAATTTATTTTTTATTCAATTTATACTTTAAAATGTAATACAATACAATCGTATAAAGTAATTTTGAATTTTTTTTCCTGTGGTACAATTACATACATTATCTTTTTTTTTTTTTTGACAATTGAAATTACATTAATAATATTAATATTTACTCGAGAGACGAGGGAAATGTCCAGTCTAGGACTCGATCTGAGGATCTGAGTGCATATGCCTGCTTCTCATTCAATGAAAAGCGCGACCGCCACTGCAGCCAGTGAAAGGCAACGTACATTGTCTTATATTGGGTTATATTTCACTATTTCTTGATTTCTTGTCGTCTCTTTTTTTTTTTTTTTTGGGTAAGAGATTTCTTGTCGTCTTACAGCACTTGTTTTTTATATTTTTATTTGATTGAAAAAGAAAGGCAGCCCTACCCTCACGCCGTTAACTACCTTACCCCCTTTCTTATCATATATGTCATTTCTACCCTTCATTGTCACTCACTCTTCACTCTAGTCTTAGCCCACTGCCAAACCCTAACAAAATCACCACCTTTGTGTCCTCTAGATCTCACCTCATTCTGACCCACTTTCAGGCGATGTGATTTCACACCTGTCATGGCCTCTGCTTGTGTCAACAACATCGGCGTTTCGCCGGAGAGTACTTTCCCGGCCACTTCTTACTCGTCTTACGGGTGGTTGAGTCCTAGGCTTTCCTTCAGCCGTGAAGATGAGTCCAAACCTAGACCCAAGTCTCAGCCTGAGACATCAAAGGTGGATCAGCAGGATTCGTCGGAGATCCAAGATCCCGTCGGTGATTTTGAGTTCCGGTTGGAAGATCCTGTTACCATGCTTCCTGCTGATGAACTTTTTTCCGATGGGAAGCTGGTGCCGCTGCATTTCTCGTCTTCTGTGAAGACCCACCACCAGTTCAACGCTTTGACTGAGATTAGGTCCCCAGAGACTGTTAAATCTTGCCGGAGGATGGAGATGGTGATTTCGAGTACCGATCCCTACTTATTCTCGCCCAAAGCTCCGCGGTGTTCAAGTAGGTGGAAGGAGATTTTGGGTCTCAAAAAGTTTACCCAAAATAGCAATCACAAACCGGAATCGCAGAGCAAGAACTCGTCGTCGACGAATAACTCCTCCAAATCTCTCAAGCATTTTCTGCACCGGAGCTCCAAGTCTTCTTCCTCCTCATCGTCCTCTTCAGACGCATCGTTGAGCCTCCCTTTGTTGAAGGACTTAGACTGCGAGTCTGTCTCGGTATCCTCTTCACGGTTGTCGCTGTCTTCTTCATCTTCCGGGCACGAACACGAGGATCTCCCCCGGCTCTCGCTTGACGCCGAGAAACCCTGCTTGAACCCAAGCCCGAACCCTTTTGCCCCGAGCAGGAGTTTGAACCCCAACCCACCAAGAATGAGAATGGTGAAGCCAAGGGCTGGCCCAGCGTCTGATTCAAATCAGACAGCAACCACGAGGGTGGGGCGGAGTCCGATGCGGCGGGCGGAATCAGGTGGGATATCGAGCAGGGGAGTATCCGTGGACAGCCCAAGAATGAATTCTTCCGGGAAGATCGTGTTCCAGAGCCTAGAAAGGAGTTCTAGTAGTCCAAGTAGCTTCAATGGCGGACCCAGGTACAAGCACCGAGGCATGGAGAGGTCCTACTCTGCCAACGTGAGAGTGACTCCCGTCCTCAACGTTCCGGTTTGTTCCCTCAGAGGGTCTTCAAAGTCTGGCTCCGTCTTCGGGTTTGGGCAACTTTTCTCTTCTTCCCCACAAAAGAGTGGAACCGGAGGAATCAAAGGTCATCAGAACAACGGCAGCAGCTCCAGCAGCAGGAACAGGACTGATCGAACTTAACCAGTGTTAATCATTAGAGAAATTAATGACAACGAAAGTAACATTTTTAACATTTCCCTTGTGTTTTTTTTTTTTTTTTTTTCTGAGGTCTCTCTCATTTTATGGGTTTTTGCTTTCAGTTTTTGATCTGAGAAACACCACTTGACATTCTCATATTATTCTTCCATTCTCAACAGATTTTAGAATTTTAGATGGATGTATATATATCTGGGAATCTCATGTTTCTTCAGTTTCTGTTAAATTTTTAACTTAGTTGTCTTGGTTGTTCTTTCCTTTTGCCCCATAGCCCTGAAAGATACGGAATCTCAATCCCTGTTTTTTCCTGTTGATGATGATTGATCCCCGCCTGCCTGCGTTTGAAGTGCACGCGCTTCCACCGCCGGTACCGGAGGGATAGGGGATTCACTCTTGCTCTCTCTGCGTCTAGCCATGTTGAGCCTAGCTAATGTGTTTCTTTCTATGAATAAAGATGAAATTATCTATTAGTATTTTAATATTTCTGAGCTTTGTTGTTTACTCTGGGGTTTGGGGAATGATGCCTCTGTTTCAAAAGAGGCGCCAGCCCTGCACTGAAGAATTTCTCCTGCTCATCAATCTTTTGGGGTATGGTAATGGTCCGTAATCGAAATGTGGAGACGGTTAAAAATTGTAAAATAATATTTTTAAAAATATTAATCATATGAAATTTGATTAATAAAAATAATTAATATTTTAAAATTATATATAAGTAAAAAAAATTTATAGGATTAGTGGTGTTAATACTTCTTAATGTAACAATAACAACACTCTAATCTTTTGCACCTCACTCGTTTTTCCTCTTTTTATATATATATATATATATATATATATATATATATTTCTTTATTAATTAACTCTGTTTTATAATTCAAACAATGCTGAATTATAAAATAAGAATAATTGAATGTGGGAGAACTCTTTTATATTAAGTAACTCACCCTCATCTAAATAATATAGCATTACTGATATGATCCGATTTGTATTATAGTTTTTTGATTAATTAAACACAGTTTTCATTTTATCCAACATAATAGATATTTTTCTAAACAATAGTAGTCCAGGATAGAATGAAATTCATTTTATCTCTCCCCAACTATAATAATTAATGGGAGACTACAAAACTTGAATTGTTAAGTGGATGGAGACCTAATATTAGAAGACATGTCTTTCATCAAATGATTTCTATTATATAATCTAGTATATTTTGGATTGCACAATAATTTTTTTTATAATTTATTAATTCATTAGACTAAAGCTCTTGTGGTTATCGTATTCTTAGATATTGAATTTACTCCTTACCTTATTGCTTCATATTAAATTTATTATAAAAACGTACATAATTTTTTATGAATCACTTAATTTCAATGTCCATAATCTATTATTGATTAAACTAAGCTAAGGAGTTAGATTTCATCTTATAGACATAAGCTGGATTACATTATCAGTTAACTATCTCACCAAAAATTCACTAGACTGGTAGACTATAAATGGCAAATGGCTTGTAATCTACGTACAGCTAACATGCACAAGAAGGTTTACTTGTATTTTTATTTTTATTTTTTTTTGGTCGTCTGAACAGGTACAATTTTTAGAGAGAGGTTTGAATCTAGCTCATTAGACTAGGAAGGTGCACTTATTACCAAAGAGTAATGGTACGTGGGACGATTTTGAGGGACTAAATTACGTGACGACAAGTAAAGTAGGGTTAAATTGAAAATTGTCAATTTAACCCTACTTTACTTGTCGTCACGTAGTTTAGTCTCTCAAAATCGTCCCGTATATCATTACTCATTACCAAATGGACTGTGAGGCTAGTTTGCTAATTACTTGTAATTTTCTTTGTTGCATGTGTACTTGGAGGCGCATAAACATTCACTAAATTAAACTAAACTCTTAAATATAAGGAAACTTACATTGAATTGGATTAAATTTTGCACAAAACATTATTTGAATTTGATACATAATTTGACTCAAAACATATATTAAATTATTTAATAAAAACTAATTCTTTCACATCCTTTAATACACCACATTTATATATTATGTAATTTTAATTTTAATTTAAAATCTCTTCTTTCTAAATAAAATTAAATTATCACTAGTTGAATAACTATGTTTTAATTATTCTTAGTATTTCGAGAGGCTTTTTGGCGTCGTCTGCCGGATACGGACGGGGCATTATATATTAAAATACGGTAGGAGTTGGACGACATGTGCTCCACATTTTAAAGAGGATCAAAACATGTGAGATTTTAGGTTGTAATGGCTTTATTTTGGATTTAGTGGGCAGCTCTAATTTTTTTTTAATATTACTAAGATAGTATGTTTTTTTTCTTTATATTATAAAAGTAGCAGAACGGATTGGATTTTTTTTTTTTGGATGTTTTGATTGATCTTTATTGCTTTAGATTATTCCTCCCATGCCCCACGGGCATACTTGATTTTGTTCTGTCTTTTATTATTATTATTATTTAAAAAAAGAATTAGAGGGTATTTTCATGAATTTTAAAAATTAATTTCTCACATATCCACGTTGGTTTGCTGCTATTTAAGAAATTAATTTGCTTTTATACTAGCATTAAGACTTAAATTATAAATCCTATTTATAAACTCACTTATTTACGGCTAAAATTCCTATAATGGAGTTTGATCTTGCTCTCTACCTTCTGTATTTGTCAAATCCAACACTTTCTCCCCATCATTCTGTCAACATTCAAACGGACAAATTTGTGTGGGGTTGCAAAATTCATCTAGATAGCGTTTTTTACTGCACTGAAAACGAGGAAAGCTTTTATTACTACAACAACCATAAAAATTAAGCTGCTTCTTCATTTTTTTTAAAATAAAAAACCAATTTCATAAATTTGATTAGTAATTGATTTAAGGGGTTTCTTATGAGTAGGCATATGATAATTTAATTAAGTTGACATTGATTCATACGATTATGATGGTGAGAAAGGGAAAAAGATGTAAGTTAAGGAAATTCTCTTTTTCACCAAATAGTCAAAAAAAAAGTAGATAATTGTAAGAGTATTGTTCGGTATAACTTATAATAATAGAATAAATTATGAGTTTTATGTCTTTCAAACTAAAATGTATATTAAAAATATAATTTTGACGTTAAAATTATTAAATTATTATTAATAAATAAATATAAAAACTAATTTTATTAAAAATATTTTAATAATTTTAGTGACAGTATTATATAATTTAACTTGTAAAATACTTTTTTCAATAAATTATTTTAAAATTTTTCCTACAAAATACATTAACTAAGAAGAAATTGAATTGTCCATGAGGCATATGAATATCTAATTAATTGATTAAGGATCTAAAAGCCGAGGCCCATGCATATACAAAGTTTCTTTAGTTTTTTTTTTTTTTTTGGTACAACCAAATAGGTTATACAAGAGAGGATAGCTTTTTCTTTTCCCTAAATCCTTTCCTGTTTGACTCAAGGTTCATACTTGAGATTTTCAATTTGGAATCTTAAGTTTTTAACCACTCCATTGGGGTTAGAGTTTTTTAAGTGTTTATATATATATATATATGTGTGTGTATGTATATGTTGTACTTAAATGATTGAATTTGTATTGTATATCTATAAATTGACTGTGTACTCCATATAAAAAGCAAAATTATAATTAGTTAGTAATTTGTCTCTGAGCAATTCCTTTCTTGGTCTTTGGTTACTTTAGATCTCTCCTCGGTGGTTTTCATGTATATGTGGTGGTTGGGAAGGGTGGCAGTGTGAGGCCAAATTCTCTTGTCTTGGCATCGATCATAGGGGATGAATGGTGGGAGGTGTAGTCGTGGCATGGCAAGAAGAGTAGAGTGTAGGGACCTAAAGGTAGTTGCCCAGTCACCATGTATTCTTTGTTGGTTTAGCTTTGGCTTTTGGGCACGGGGGAGGCTGCTTGATCGCCGTTGAGGTTGGTGGTGTGCTATGGGTTAAATCTTAGAAACAAAAGTCAGTGGAGGCTTTTGATATCAAAACGCTTGTTTGCCATCTGACACAAAACGACCCCACCTTTAAGGAATCCTACGTTATCAATGGTTAGTTTTATATAATATGATATAATTTAAACTGTACAATTTATTTCTGCTCTTAAGGTTTAAGTAAATGAAAAGATGTTGTAAGTCCCCTTCTTGGTGATAATTAAGTGTTAGGTTAATCAGGTTGCTTTACCTTGTGCAATTAAAAGATCCTTGCATAAGTTACGAATTTTTTTGGAAATAAATTACCCATTGTTTATTGTTTAGGTTGTTTATTTCTCTTGTAGGTCTGCCACTTCTTGTTTAGATTAATTGTTTTGTTAGGATTAGGCCAGGAGTTGGTTCGTAGTAGATAGGTGAAGGCATTTGCCAGCCTAGATTCTTCAAGTACTCGCATAACAACCCGTTTAAGAATTTGGGTCTAAAAAGCATTAGTGAGTGTGAAAGATCAACAACCGGGTAGCAAGTTGTCTAGATTTTGTCTTTTCGTACTGAATCGTCCAACCTGGAGGGATGATAACCTAATTGAAGCAATATATATCTTAGTTCCTCTTTCCGATTCTTATAACTCCATCAATCAATTCAATTGAATTAATATATATCTCTTTTTTCATATATAAAAAAGAAACAAAAATAAGAAAATTTATAATGAACTCAAATTTAGATTTCTACTACTACCATTTACGGCCAAAAATAAATAAATAAATTTTGTAATTTTTTTGGCTTTTTTCCTTTGAAGATGAAAATTTAGATTCTATTTAGTATAATTTTGATTTCAATTTTTTTTTTGTATATTTAGTAACTAGTTATTGTATTTAAATTAAATTTAATAAATTTAAATTTTATAATAAATTTTAATTTTTAAATATAATAATGTTGTTATATATATAAAAAATAAAAACCCAAAACCAAATCATACTAAAAACCTAACTTAATTATAAGAATTTTGGATTAACAAAAAAGGAGGGGGGGGGGGCTGAGGCCATAGAGGTGTTGGCGCGCATTTGGCTCCAAAAAGCTAGAAGAACTGATTATTTTATGTTTTTTAATCCATTATTAAATGTATTAATAAATAATTTGTAGTATTTTTTTATCTAGCTACTAATTACTTGAATTAATCTTTCCTTTTCCAAAATCTGTTATCAGATTTCAAGATTGAAATTTGAGACATTGAAATAATGATTAAGAGTATCTTTTT